CCAGGTAAAATTAGCTTCAAATTATAGTTTGTTTGAACCCATTTTCATTAAAAAAAAATCTTCTAATAGATGATTAGAGCTCCACAATGTGTGTTTTCCAGTTTGAGTCCTTTTAGATGAAGGTTAGTTTGTAGTTTCGGGGCCGTTTCAGAGCCCTGCCCTGCCAGTGAACTCAGGCTTAAAAAGTTCATATTTTTTCAATGGACATTTCAAGTAATTTTGAGCAAAACTGAAATTGCTTCTTTATGCATTAATTTTTTCTTTTCTTTTTTAGGCGGACATTTGTTGTCTAAATAACTTAACAGATTGAAAATTAAACTGACAACTTATGTAAAGTGATTTTAGCTTCAAATTAGCTTCAAATTATAGTTTGTTTGAACCCATTTTCAGTTAAAAAAAATCTTCTGATAGATGATTAGAGCTCTACAGTGTGTTTTCCAGTTTGAGTCCTTTTAGTTGATGGTTAGTTTGTAGTTTCGGGGCTGTTTCAGAGCCCTGACCTGCTAGCGAACACAGGTAAAAGTGTGACTTAAAAAGTTAATATTTAGTGTTTTGAGGTTTTTATCATGACTGAATTCAATCAATGGACATTTCAAGTCATTTTGAGCAGAACTGAATTAGCTTATTTATGCAGAAACATTATTTTTTCATTTTTAGGTGGACATTTGTAGTCTAAATAACTTAATAGATAGTAAATTAAACTGATAACTGAGCCTTAAAGTATCAATTAGCTGTCATTAATATAAAACACCTGTGTAAAGTGAATTTAGCTTCAAATCACAGTTTAAAATATGATTTTATTTCATTCCTCCCTCTAAGAGCTCTACAGTGTGTCATTAATATAAAACACTCGTGTAAACTGAATTTAGCTTCAAATTATAGTTTGTTTGAACCGTTTTCAGGAAATTATTATAGTTTAAAATATGACTTTATTTCAGTCCTCCCTCTAATAGCTCCACAGTGTGTGTTTTCTAGTTTGAGTTATTTTAGTTGATGGTTAGTTTGTAGTTTCGGGGCTGTTTCAGAGCCCTGATCTGCTAGCGAACACAGGTAAAAGTGTGACTTAAAAAGTTAATATTTAGTGTTTTGAGGTTTAAGACACTTATGTAAAGTGAATTTAGCTTCAAATTAGCTCCAAATTATAGTTTGTTTGAACCCATTTTCAGTAAAAAAAATCTTCTAATAGATGATTAGAGCTCCACAGTCTGTGTTTTCCAGTTTGAGTCCTTTTAGACGATGGTTAGTTTGTAGTTTCAGGGCTGTTTCAGAGCCCTGATCTGCTAGTGAACACAGGTAAAAGTGTGACTTAAAAAGTAAATATTTAGTGTTTTGAGGTTTAAGACACTTATGTAAAGTGAATTTA